TGGAATTCAAGGGAAACAAAGGCCCTTAGATAGGACTTCATATATGGCTTGAAGAGATTTCCTTTCTATTTTTGTTTTACTCGTTATAACGAACGGAATTTAAGGGAAACAAAGGACCTTAGATAGTCATAGGACTTCATCTATGAATACAAGAGATTTTCTTTCTAATAGAACTCATCACTAAAGTTGCTAACTAATTCAAACTTTCGAGTGCTCATAGAATCACCTTGAACTATCATGAACTCGTATGAAAAAAAATACTCAAGAGAAGAATATTACATGATATGTGAACATATCACTCCAAAAAGCTCCTTCGATGAGTTTCAAGTGGCTGTATACACTTTTTTTTTAAATTATTATCGTATTTTATTAGTTTCACATCTAAACTATTGTTAATAGAAAGTCCCCCTCCCCTCTCCACAAACTAGTATGAACTCATTATGTCAGGTGGCATATAGTCAAGTTTGGTTCAATTTTAAAAAAAATTAGATCTACTAATATTTCAAGCCATTAATTAGTCAATGTTTAACCAATTAAAAGTTAAACTTGTAATAAATTCAATATGTAATTATATACAGCTAGAATTAATTAAAATGCAAGATATAGAGTATCAAATCTGGATGGAGATACCTTTTAGAGAAAAACAGTAACGGATCACTACATGTATCTAAGGATTATGCACTACTTAATTTTGTTAATAAATTTATTTATATCCATATAAAATGACTCATTTTAAACTCAAAATAGAACTCAATAAACGTGTGATAATAAGACAGTTAATCTACATCTTACCATTTTGCATAATAATTATTAATAGAGGCATTTAGTTAAAGCAAAGATATGATAAGCTTGAAATATATTGATGTAATTACTATTTCTAGCAAGTTGATATGATCTTGTAGTAGAACTATGAGTTGGTTGTTTGAATTTGTAAATATTAATGCCATGGAATCATTAATTTTCCATATTTGGAGGATTTTGTATTTATAACCTTGTCTATTTAAAAGATAATATTCTCTTCATTATTTCATCAATTTAATTTTATTTCAAGAAAGTAAACATTAGTTAGTATAGAGAGATTTCGCAATGAAAAAGCCATCTTCTATTGAGGCTTCTAGCATATCGCCAACCTTAGAAGAATCTCATGAAGTTGTCACAAACACGAAGAAAACAAAAGAAAAAGTTGTGGAAGGCTCGCAATTGAAGCCATATGTTGGTGTAAGGTTTGATCACAAAGATCATGATGGTTACGACAACAACATAAATACTAATTGTTCAAATCATGAACTCAATCTTTTTAGTTCTACTCCGGCTCATGCTAGTGAGTCTTCCAACGAGGCAAAGCCCAAGGAGAGGCGTTCCTCGGATGCTAAGACTTTCTCTTGTAACTTTTGCAAGAGAGAATTCTCCACTTCCCAAGCCTTAGGGGGACACCAAAATGCTCATAAACAGGAGAGGGCATTGGCTAAAAGGAGAAATGGTCTTGTTGATGTCGTTTCACCTTTTGTCCCTCACAATTATCATCCCTACTACAATCCCTATTCAAATTTCAACTCACGCATACCATTTCATGGTTCTTTTGCTTCTCGATCATCATCGCTTGGTGTTCAAGGAGATTCTCATGCAATTCTTGAGCCTACTTCCTGTCAGAAATGGCCATTTTTTTCTAGCTACAATTTTCCATTTAACCCTGAGAAGTGGTCATCAAGCTCATCATTTTTTAGGACAGAAAATTACAACATGGGTAAAATTGGAACAGGAAGTGTTTCTTTGGAGAATTCCTCTAATTTTGAGAACAAAAAAAGTGGAAAGGGTTTGAATTTAATGAATTCACCCATCGATGTTGATAATCTTGATGGAAATAATTATACGAAAATGAATTTAGGAGAGGAGGAAGAAGAAAAGAATAATGAAGAAGAAGAAGAGCTTGATTTGAATCTAAAGCTTTAGTTTACCTTATTGCTTTGGCTTATTTTGTTATTTCACAAGGTTTAATTTTATTTTTGCAATGTTTTTATTAGAAAACATGTGATATATATGTTAATTCCCACTTTCTTGTAGCTTGATTTGAATCACTCTCTTCACTTCTTTTTTTTCTTTTTGGATAGTCAAAGTGGCTTTGTATATGTCGGAACAAAGACATATCTTTAGTCTTTAAATTAATACCCATGATTGTTTAGTGTTAAAAACATTTATAATATATTTCAAAAGGAAAACCAAGATTTCAAACCGCATAAAAGTGAGTGATGATGATCTGAATTAAGACGTAATTATTGTTGTTATATTGAGTCATGACATGTAAAATCTTAATTTCGGAATATGGCTTTAATTTCCACTTAGGATGAAATGTATGGATCCAAGTGCTATTATCTTTCTTTATTTTTGTTTTGGAGAGTATTTGAGAATTTTTAGTTGTAGATTTATCTCACATGTTACATGAACATCACACTTCAAAAGCTCCTCCAGACTAATTTTTAGTATCAGCACACGTAGAAATTCTTTTTGAGTATATAAGTTAACTCTCCCTATACTATCACTGTTTGTGCATTTCATATATAAAATTGGGTATCATAGAACTCATTGTGCCATGTGGACTCATTGTTAAAACTTTTTCCATACTCACGCACCTCTTGATAAGTTATTTAAAATATTTTGTCATACATTTAATTGACGGATTTTTAATCTAAAAAAGAGTTAAATTAATGTGGAACAAAAAAAGTTAGTAAAATTGGTTACCACATGATTGGGGACGAATGGGTGGATGATTAAACTAGGTGGATCAATGTCTTCCCCAAAGTTACTTGAACAAAATATTAGTCATAACATAACCTGACCAATTATTATTAAGTTTTAGTTTTTTTATTAATTTTTTTCAAGTATATAATAAGCTTATATTTTATGTATTATGATTATATATAATATATGAGACAAAAACAATTTCATCTTTCCAACTAAGAAAAATCAATATCATACTATGATTACTTGCAAGCGTAGATCGTCAAGACTTACATAGCTTTAGCATCTCTACCTAAGTTTAAGGATATTTTAGTCCCAATTTTTTTTCCCTATTAGACTTAATTAGAAGGTTATTTTTTAATTGTTTTTAAAATAATCAGGATATTTATTGTATTAGTAAATAATGCATTCAATTGTGGAAATATCTTTGTAGAAAGAGTTTGTCTATTATGTGCTTAAATATGTAAGTAATGTTTATGGTATGAGAAAAAGATATCGGCTTAATGTTGTGAGATAGCGTATAGTTAAAAGTTTGATTCAAAAATTTCTAAATCATAATGATCACCTTAAAAAGGAGATGTCACAATCGATTTCAATAGTTTAAACTTGTAAAAAATTAATATGCAAATATATACAGCTAGAATTAATTAAAATGCAAGATATAGAGTATCAAATCTTAATAGAAAAATAGTAACACATCACTACATTCATCTGGGGATTATGCACTAAACTTATTTTAGTTAATAAATTTATTTATATCCATATAAAATGGATCATTTTAAACTCAAAATAGAACTGAATAAATGTTTGAGAATAAGACACTTAATCTCCATATTACCATTTGTATAATAATGGTGACATTTAATTAAAGCAAGATATGATAGTTTGATATACATTAATGTAATTAGTATTTCTAGCAATTTAATTTGATCCTCTAGTAGAACACCCCATTAACACTGAGTTGGTTGCTTGAATTTGTAAATTTGTAACGCCATGCAATCATTAATTTTCCATATTTGAATGATTTTGTATTTATAACATTGTCTATTTAAAAGATTTATCCTCTTCATTAATCTTTCATCAAGTTAATTTTCAAGAACATTAGTATAGAGAGGAAAATGAATGTCTTTGCAATGAATAAATCATGTTCTTTTGAGACTTCTAGCATATCGGCAACCTCAGAAGAATCTCATGAAATTGTCACAAAAACTAAAAAGATGAAAGAAAAAGTTGTGGAAGGCTCACAGTTGAAGCAACATGAATCATCATCTGGTGGTGTACTTGTTGATCTTAAAGTCCACAACAACAACATGAACACTAATAGTTCGAATCTTGAACTCAAACTTTTCAATTCAACTCCAGCTCGTGCTAGTGAGTCTTCCAACGAAGCAACACCCAAGCAGAGGTGTTCTTCGGATGCTAGGACTTTCTCTTGTAGCTTTTGCAAGAGAGAATTCTCCACCTCCCAAGCCTTAGGGGGACACCAGAACGCTCACAAACAAGAGCGGGCTTTGGCTAAAAGACGAAATGGACTTGTTGATGTTGTTTCGTCTTTTGGCCCTCCTAATTATCACCCCTATTATAATCCCTACTCGAGTTTCAACTCACACATACCATTTCATACTTCTTTTCCAACTCGATCATCTCTTGGTCTTCAAGGAGATTCTTCCATGATTCATAAGCCTACCTCCTATCCGACATGGCCATACTTTTCGGCCTACAATTTTCGATTAAACCCTGAGAAATGGTCGGCATCATCATCAAGCTCATCATTTTTTAGAACTGAAAATGTTCTAGGAAATAATATTCTTGGTGCTTCTTTGGAGAATTCTCATTTTGAGAAGAAAAATAATACAAAGGGTTTCAGTTTAATGAATTCACCAATCAATCTTGACGATAGTCTTAATGGAAATAATCATACAAAGCTTGGATTGGGAAAGGAGGAAGCAAAAAAGAATAATGAAGAAGAAGAAGAAGAATCAAAGCTTGATTTGAATCTCAGGCTTTAATTTAATTTGTTTTGCTATTTTATAGAGGTTTAATTTTTATTTGCTTTTATTTAAAGGTGTAGTATTACAATTCTATTTTCTTGTGATTTGATTTGAACCCGTAAATCATTGTCTTTATCTTTTAAACCCTTTTTGGAAAATTTGAAGTTTCATGTTACCCTAAAGAGATGTGTCGTTCAATTTGTGTTAAGTCAAAAATCTTTAAATTCAGACTGGTGACTATTAAAAACATTCCTAGACATAATTCTAAAAGGAAAGATAAGATTTTGGACAGAATAGTGAGTTATGATGACTTAGGACTGTGATATAGCTATTGTTTCTATTTTTCATATTGAAATCTTTTTGTTAGAAAATTATATTGCATTTTTGTTAGAAAATTATATTGCACTTGTTTATATAATAGATGTTGATTAATCCTCTTTGCTTTTACATACATTTACTTTTTTTATATTTTGAACCTCTTTAATGAAACTTTTAATTCTGCTATTATTCTTCCCCTTAGCTCCTTGCTTTTGCATACATTTACTTTTTTATATTTTGAACCTCTTTAATGAAACTTCTAATTCCACTATTATTCTTCCCCTTAAGAAATTCTCACTGTGTGCACATATATTTGAAATCCCCAACAATTTGAACCATTATGTAATGAAATTTTGTTTCATGCATGGTATACTACGCGTTAAACCAATTCATTCCTTTAAACTAACACTTTGTATATTCATACAAAGAAATTTATGTACAAGGATAGATTTGATGGATAAATTGGGATCAAGTTGGTTGAGTATATATAGTAGCTTAAAGGGCCTGCGGCTACGTGTCGCTAGCTCATTGCGTGGATTATTAATGGAATAGATTGGATATCTGATGAGATTAGTTATTTTAACGACCTACCTTTTTATGAAATGGATAATTCTTTGAATTAGTTAATACTCATAAATAAACGTGAGATAAAATAATTCCATAAAATATTTCAAATATTTTTTTAATCAACTTATCAACCAATCAAACAACCTCTAACTTCATATTACAAGGAGAGATCTAGTCACTTTGTGTAAATACACCCCACTATACAAGATAACAATTCCTCACCTTTGATTCAAAGTTTTTTTTTTCTTGAGAAATTATTGATTTAATATATTAAACAATCTATTTAGAAGTTGAGATTCCTTCCGTTTCTCAATTTGTTTTAAAAGGAAATGAAGAGGGAATCAAGATAGGAAAATCGAATCTTCACCAATCAGCAATCATCAACCAGGTAAGTAACATTAAGATTTCCCTATTAGTCCATTTATATTGTAGTTCATGTCATATTATTTCTATTAATTTATTTATTCTCAAAATTATTCTGCTCGCGAGTAACACAAATTATAGTTTTGATTTCTGAGTTATTATCTCACAAAATCATTTTTCTTCAATAAATATATTATATTATGAGCTAATAACTATTAATTGAACGGATATTCAAGAAATCAACTAATGAAATATAGTATGTTATGATGAAGTAGTTAAGTACGTTTGCTTGGTGGATCAAAGCATATACCTACCACCTGTCATGACATAAGATAGGGTTGTGACACACACCCTAACACACATATAAAGTTACTTTTTAATTTAGGTGAAAGTGTTTTAATTTAATGTAATATTTAAAAATAAAAATAAAACTTTAAAAAATTATGATCCTAAATAAGTTTTAGATAAGTTATAAATCATGTCTTAATAAGTATCACTTTTTTAATTGACAAAAAAAGTGTGACAAATTTCGATACAGAAGGAATTAAAAAAAATTGTGGGAGCGTGAAATGATAAGGCCCCTATAGGAGATTATAAAACTAGCCTATTGTTATCCAAAGTGAATTAAATAGCTATAGTATGCTCCATTTATGGACCATCCCCCCTTTTAGTGGAAATTGACTAAGATGCCTTTCTATGTCTTCATGTGGAAATAACTTCACTGTCTATCTCTAAGCTATGGTTTTTCTCTTATCTAAAATTATTAAAGGAGTTGCTTGGGGATTCCTCATATAATTGTTTCACTTTTACATTTTTTTTCAAGTCTTAACGATAGTTTAAAAAATTACAAAATTCTTTTATTATGTTCCTATACATAATATAGGACATTATCTTAGTGTGGTGCTATGTTTTATATAATTTTTCTTTTAAGAGTATGAGTGATTAAGAAACTATCTATAATGTGTAGCGATACCTATATCAGTGCGAGTTCTTTTAGAAAAAACAATCAAGTTTGACATAAAGTAGATAATATCTAACCTATTAAGTCCAAGTATTAATATCACAACTTATGGTTGAATAGGACGAGTATGAAAAATGTACATGTGAATCTCTTAAATTCATAGGACTTGATCGAGGGGAGACTCCACAAAGCGAGAGAGATTGTCAGGTGTGCAAACACAATAATTAATAGTTGAAAATATTGTGAAGCTATATAGAATATGTAAGAATATTATTAATGGTTTGAGTTTGAAGAAAATGAACGATTAGTGATCAATTTACATATGTAATTTCATTAAGTGTATAGTCAAGAATTAATTTAATGAGTAAATAAGGAAAGGGAGAGAGAAAATATGTGTGTGTGTGAGAGAGAGAAATCTTTGACCAAAGAGAGAACAAGTTGAAAAAATCATGGGTGGTGTTGGAACATACCATTTTTACATGATTTCAAAGAGAAAGATGAGAATAAGTACCATCAATCTAAGTGCCAAAAAAGCCATGTTTAGTGCTATTGGGAGATGAGAATCTCTACAACTTGCAAAATTAAAGTGTCTTATTTTAACGTTTAAAGTGTTAAGTTAGTGACTAATTTAATCAGTATAGTTAAAGAATGAAAGGTGATAGTATAAATTGTTCTATAATGGAAATGAGTTGACTATCAACAAACCTTCTTATAAGGTAAACATAATTCTTCCACATTAAATTAGCATTTTTGAGTTCAAATAAAAAATGTTTCGTTCCTTGCACTATACAATTCTAAATCAATATCAGTCAAGATACTAAAACAAGATACCAAGTGGGAAAAAAAAGAAAAAAAATTGACTACAACAATGTTTCATTGGTTTTACAAAGTCAAACCCCTTTAGTAAAAAGGCAAAGGGAAAATGGAGAATATAAGTTGCTTTATCATAAAAGATTTGACTACTATTAGAAAGTGTTTTTTTTTTAAAAGAACAATAAAATAAAATGTGATTATTTAATTTACAATATCATATTCATTTTTCATCGAAATAACTCTGGAGAAAAGATCCTTAGCCCCTCCCACCGGACACACATTTCTCATATAAGGACCATTACCAAGAATATGGAGCCCAAGTTCAATTTTCTTGTATTTTAGGGATGTGTGGACTTTGATTAGTACTTCTATAGTCATTCCTTTTCCATACTATGAGTAGATGGAGAAAAGTAAAAATATTCATTAAATTAAAGCAACTCAAGCTAGACTTATTATAAACATATATGAATTAGGGTGGGGGTGGAGGGTTGCTAGGGATAAGGTATAAAAACATAGTTAAATTATGGTGAAACTTTTAACTATACAAAGGTCCCTTTTACCCTCTAAACTTTTTTTTTCATTATGACCTCCTTCATTAATTAATTATTAGAAAGAAAATAAGTAAATTAAGACATATCATATGTATAAATATGTTGTTTATACTAAATAAGAGAAAGAAAGAAGGAGGAGTTTTATATCTGATTCTTCAAAAAGTCGATCAAATTTCATTCTCTCAAGTCTCAAATATATCAATATACCAAGTCAAGAATTTTGAGTAATATTTGCATCTCTTTAGCTGATCAATTATGCATTAACATATTTTGAAATAAGTATTTGAACTTTTAAAACATGACAAGTACTTGATTGTTTTTAATAATCAAAACAAGTAAATAGAACAAAAAGAATATTATCTCTTTTAAGCTTGGTTGGTACGTCATTTTCAATATAATTAACTATATAATAATATCAAAACTTATACACAATATAAATAGCTCATCTCATTCAAATATGAGTGAAATTTAAGTAAAGTATTTAAAATTTAGATATAAACGAACAATATTTAATCACATATAATTGACCATTGGCCATATACATTCAAAAACATACTATTTCTGTTTCAAGATGGATATCCATAAATTCACATAATTTTTTTCAAAGTTAACAAATGAATATACACCTTAATTATAAGAATGAATTTACTTCTAATCATACTTAACTAAATTTAGTCATATAAAACTTCAAACACGAAAATTAATTATATCAAAATCAGGTATCTAGACAGTTTGTCTTATTAGGCTATTTAGACGGATGAAAATATCCAACCCCAACCTCATAATAGTAGGGCTCATGAGATAATACATTAACTGGGACCCAATTAGGATAAGGTCAATGCAAGAGAGACAGCTGTATATCTTTGGAAATAGGAATTTTCATGTTTTTTTGCTGTTTTGTTTTGGAAATTTGCCACACCGATTATTTTGTTACCGGAAAAATATATATATAACTTCGAACTATTATAAATCGTATGTAAATATTTTTGAAATATTTGGTGCTTTTATCATTCAAAAATTAGATCTTGTATGTTCTTCACTTTAACAGAAGATTAAATAAAAATACGTGATAAAATTTTATCCATTGATTCGATGTCGCGTAGATGGATAAGATTATGACACGTATATTTCCGTTAGTATAAAAGATATAATGCTCTAGTTTTTTAGACCACAAAGACAGTAATGTCTCTAAAATATAATAGAAGGTTATCATTTACGATAGTTAAAGAACATATTTATCCTTTTCTCCCTTTGATATTATCATGATTTGCTTCTCTAGAGTTAATTTAAGTTTTTTTATAATTTAATAATTATATAAAGATATTTTAGATTGTAATTTGTTAAACTAATATAATAAAAGAATATGTATTAAGTATTTATTAGAATTTGACTAATTTGATTCTTAAAAAATGATAATTTGTTAGACGGAGAAAGTATGTTTTAATTTCTCTGGAAAATTATAAATCTTTCAATCTCATTCATGCTTATACATACAATGTAAAAAAAGAGATTTTTCATAAAATAATTATAATTTGGAATAAAATTATAAATATTTAAATGACAGTAAGTTGTCTTATCAAAAGAAAAACAAATTGCTAATTATTAGATGCTAT